GGAGGACTCTCAATGGGAGCATCGGGTGTGTGGAATGCAGGTTGCACAACGTGCTACTCGCAGAGTCCGATTTCGGTTTTTATGAGTCCTAAATCCTCGGGAGCCAGTTGTGTCTCTGCAGCATGAATTTATGAGTGTTTTCCTCGGGGAGAGGACGGGGGAAGGGATTCTACGGGTGCTTGTGTTCTTATGGCATCGTTTTTGGGAGATACAAGCTGATGATAAGGGATACAGAGTGAACTCAATAGTTATAATTAACACGGTGAAATTTTTCAATTTTTTTTCTCGGAATTCGAGGTACAAATGCGTGAATTTAAATGCGAAATGTTTAAAGATTTGGGCTGAAATTTCCGGTACACTTCTTGATTGTTTTTAGCACGTTACAGTTTCACTGGAATTTTGAGGAATTTCGGCAGTGAAAATTCAAAATTTTATGGAGAAATCAGTGGAAATTGTAAATTGTACCGAATCCCGGGGCCGAATTGCCGAGCAAAACCACTTTCAAGGGTTGGAGACTTTTATAAAAGGTCGAATGGATCATACGGGAAAATACATAAACAGATGCTAAGGGTCCAACGATCATAAGGTCCATATAAGGTTTAAACTGGAGACCTCAAGGGTCAAATTATGATAACGGTCAATCGGGGGAAATAATTAAAAGGATGAACAGTTCTCGATTTCTACAAATCATCTGGGAGAAAAAAGATCTTCTTTTTCCATATTGATAAACACAAATTCACTTACTTCCATTCTTGGAAATGCTCTAATCTCATTATTCATTGATTATTAATAAACGGGCTGTTTACCATATCTATATTGAATTTCATAGTTAAAGAAAATTATAGAATCAAATAAGAATACAATATTCCATTCATATAGACGATAAACTTCTTCGTGACTAACACAACTCTCCGGTGGCCGAGTGGGTAAAGTCAAGGACTAGTAGCCCGAAGGTTCCAGGATCGAATCCCGACGAGTCCAACTTTTTTCACTCATCATTATCAGCAGTTATCGGTTTCTTTAGGAAGGATAAGCCGAAGAATGTAAATTAAATTACAAAAAAATAATGTATTAATGAATTTTTTCAACTATTAAAAATAAGTATTGGGTGGGTCTCGGGTGCCGATCATCGGCCGACGCTTGGCAACCAATATCGGCCCAATGTTATCAAACCAATCGCTAGCCGAGGCTGGCTCAAGCCCATTGAGGATCGTCTCCCAGTACTGACCCAATATTCGCCCTCATGCATTCAACTCTGCAAACAGCACGAAAAACGTAACAGTAGAAAAAAAAATCGTTTTCAATTTATCATCACATCACCTTCCACTTCGCCAGACAAAGCAAAAGAATGAGTTCATATTTTTAGGTACGCACGGACTTTATGTTGGTAACGAGTCCATATTAGCCCCATCTGCCTCCTCGAATGCGCTTCTGCATGAGTGAATGGGTACAGTTGAAGCCAACAAATATCACCTTTAGTCCCCCGACGGCATACTCCACCACGTCCTCTGCACTGCATTCATGTCTTGGTGAAAAAAAAAAAAGAAAACACGAGAGAAATAAAACGATACATAGATCCGGATTATCTACAGCCAATTGATCACGAATCCAAACGCGCCTCTAGTGTTTGTCACGCGGGTTCCTTGGAACCCATCACATAACTTTTTTTTTTTAAATAAAGCGGAATGAAAAGTGATAAATCAATGGGCATTTGAAACATATTCTTTATTAAGAGCATTGATTTATAGTTATTGTGCACTAATAGGAAATTGTAGAGATAAAATGAAAATTAAATGTCGTTAAAGAGTTCAAAAACCAGTTTTATGTATCTCTTTGAAATACCAAAGCCCAATATCCTTCGTTAATTTATAGCCACCATTTGCCTTGAGCGCATTTCGAAATGATTTTTATTCGATCTAAGGCCTCATATCTGGAGAATTATTTCATCCGAAAATCTCTTTCGAAATTCTCAAATCGTGAGGTTAACTGAAAAATCGTTAATTGCTTCGGGCAATCGATTATTTCAGGTTTATTATTTATTTTAATTCACGGAGAGACTGAATACACGCCCGACAAAATTTTTTGAGAGAAACTTGGAGAATTCGATTTTACAAAATCTAATCATCTAGTCATTTTGACCGATTCTGTTAAAGAATTTCGCAGCTTTCCTTCATGTTTTTTTATAGAATGTTCTATAGAAACTATTTTGGAAAAAAATCAACAGAATTTCATTTCTTTATAGCATTTATTCCAGTGAGAAATTTTGGATAGAATTTCCTCGACATGACTTTCCCATTTTTTTAATTTTTCATTAAAAAAATCAAATGAAAAATAAGCAAGCAAGTTCTATTTTGAGACTTTCAATCCCAAATTGAGACTTTCCAAAAAATTTCGAAACTCTCAACTTAAGAATTTTAGGCATCGAAATAAGATTTTTGAAAATATTATTTTAAGACCATTGAAATCTTAACGTGAGATGTTATTTTCTTCGTGAATGTCTGAATAGCATAAAGTATAGAGAAAAATACAGATCTGTAATTTTTTTTTGCAGGATTATTCAATAAAATCCAATAGAATTTTTTAGCAAAGTTTTTCACACGTGCTAGGTCTGCTTAGAAATTATACAGTGTCCCAAAATTGATCTGACATATCATGAGGATAGCTCGCGGGGGTTATTTGGACACGAAAACTCTGATGAACTTTTGGTCTCCGGAGTTATTCGTCAGCAAAGCAAAAATCCACCGCAAATCACCCTCTGTTTGAAAATTCATATCTCCTCTCTGACTTCGGCTGGGGGAATGAAAATGATGGCAATCGATTGGGCATTTAATGTACAATGATCTGAAAAAAAATTGTTCTTCTATCATCATACCCGGGTGAGGAAACCCGTAATGAATTTCAACGCCGCGCCAGAGTCATTTGATTCCTAAACGCAATGTGACTCTAAAAATCAGAGTCAACGTAAATAATTCATATCTCCACTCTCATTCAATATCAAGAAATGAAATTGATTAGAATCGATTGGGCATTCAGTGCCATCATCCCTCCGCCTTAAATGGGAAAAGGGGTATGATCTCTCTAGCTGGGAATAGCGTTTGATTGGCTGTCTTTTTTTTCTTGATAACTCACAAACAAAGCGTCGGAGACAAAAATTTCACTAGAGCTTTCGTCTCCAAATACCCCCCCCCCCCCCCCCCCCCCCCCCCCCCCCCCCCCCCCCCCCCCCC